CTGGGCTCTGCTTGTCTGAAGGCATTTTCAAATGGAAAGCTTTCATTCAGGTTTGCTTTCCCCAAATCTACTGTGCAAATGCGAAAGCTGCCTCTGTTTTAAAATGGGGGCTTGCTCACTGTCTCACTTTCTACCCTACATTAACGACAGGCATATTAAGGGGAGTAACTCCAGGAAAATTAGTATACAACCCTAAAAACCCTTTCCTAGGAATAAGCCGAGTAGGACTCTGAGAAGACCTGCTTAGAAAAGCTGTTGTGTATAAAGCACTCTCAGGGATTGGGAGGAAAGACGGGTGATTTATTTGAGGCATTGGAGTGTGTGTGTGTGTGTGGTGTTAGCCTTTCTATATCCAGACTCAAGCCAAGATTTTGTTTTCATTCCCTCCTCCCATTCACCAGCCCACACTGGAGACATTAAGTTTGGATCTCTAGTAATTACGATGACTTGCATCTAGCAAGGATTCAAAGCAGATATGGGTGCTCCTCAAAACTATCCCTCACAGCAAACGGCCAACAAGTGACAAGCAGCTTGCAAACCCAGAATGAATCAAAATGTAGTCTTCACTTTAAATGCTGGTATAAACTCATAGGTGTGTCCTATTTGTATTGCAGGCATTTCCCCTGGGTCAATGACATACGGTTAGTGAGTTCGTTCTCTCCCTTATAAATAAAAGCCGAATGGTGGTGGCACTTCTCTAGAACATTCCACACGCTCCAAAATCAGTTTGCTCTCTGATCTGTCATTCAGAGGGTCTCCCTATCCACTGGCTGCTTTGCCTCAGTCCTGCCTCCAACATTCTAAACATTTTGCTGTTCCTCTCCCCCCCACCCCGTAGCCAGTCAGAATACAGAGGTTATTTGCATATGCAGCCTCATTGGCCTTTGCCTTGGAACACAGAGGTCGTTTGCATATGCAACTTGATTGGCTTTTGCCTCTAACATTCTAAACAGTTTGCTGTTCTGAGGTAAAATGTGTCCAATCTCCAGGTGAGGGCTGGAGATCACTCAGAATTACAACTGCTTTTCAGATGGCAGAGATCAGTCCCCAGGGAGAAAATGGTGGGCTCTGTATCCTTATATGCTGCAGAGGTGGCCCCCATATGACAGCCAATGTGACATAGCAATCAGGGCTTCAGAGCACGGGAGAGGCTGCAGGTATGTGGGGGGTGGAAAGGTGAAGAGTGAGGGGGAAATAAAGGTAGGTTGATGATTGGCTGGGAAGGAGATAGGTTGCCAACTCCAGGTGGGAAATTCCTGGAGATGTGAGGGATGGAGCCTGGAGAGGGTGAGGTTTCAGGAGGCGTGGGACCTCAGACAGGTACAAAGCCATAGACTCCACCCTCCAAACCAACTATTCCCTTCTGGGGAACCATCATTGCCAATCTCCAGGTGAGGGCTGGAGATCACTCAAAATTGCAACTGTTCTTTAGGTAGCAGAGATCAGTTCCTCTGGAGAAAATGGTGGACTCCGTGTCATTATACCCTGCTGAGGTCGCCACAGCAAATTGACACTGAGTGTCCAAGGCCGGGGCATTCACCCAGAGCCTCTTTCTAGATGCTGTTGTATTTATTTCCACAACGGGCCTTTTTCCTAGTTTACAAATAATTCTCTTCAGCATGCATGCAATCACACATGCACAGGCTCCACAGCCAATTCTACTGATACATTTCCCTTGTTTTCTAGTGTCTGCACTGTGCCTGCTCGATCCCATTAATCCACGTGGAGGCCAAAATGCAGTAACAGCCAGCCATGGTCCTCTTCACGGGAGGAAGCAAGACCTGCCATGTCCCTCTGAGTCACGCTCAGCTGGTGCTGAACCTGGCTGCTTGCTAGCTGTCGCGTCCGGGGTCCAATGTAGGGTGCTGCTGTTTCCCAGCCTACTCCGGTGACCTTGTCTACATGGGGATTTAGGTTGGTGAGAATAAGGCCTCCCCAGCAATGACCTTACCCCCCGGGAGCCAGTGGCCCATGGAGATCCCTTCGTGACCCGTTGCACAATGGTTCCCAACACCTTCACATTCAGGGAGACCTTTCATGGAGGAAAACTTCACTTCTTCTTTATTAGAATATATCTGTTTAAAGCTATATTTTATTGTTCTGTTTATGTTTTTCAAGACTTTAAAATTAGGCACTTACAATAATATGCACTCTTTAATTTTATCTTTTTCAAATCTAAGTTATTTTTAAACGTTCAAATTCAGCTTTAAATCTGATCAGATAATGAGGAGGAGGAGAAGGGAAAGGAGTTTGTAGGCCGCTCTGAGACTCCCTTGGGTAGTGAAGGGTGGGGTATAAATCCAATCTCCTCCTCCTCCTCTTTAAATGTTCAAATTCAGCTTTAAATCTGATCAGATAATCTCCAAAGAACACACCTGGGATCAAAAGGACCTGCATGATTCTGAAGTGATGGGTATTTAGAAGAACTGGTTTTGACTGGATGCTTTGGAAGTGACCTAGCAAGCACCACTATCCTGAAAGATTAATTGCCCCTTCCCCTTCCTATTCACAATCTCTATGGCAGATTCTGTCGATAAACACAGACTTTTTAAAAAAGTAAGAGTACCCTATTATCATTTTTTTGTAATCATCCCCATCACAAATGCAAGAGGATGATTGCAGGCCTCATCACACAGGCTTGACAGCCAGTTATCTCAGCAAACAGGAGTTCTCCAAAGATGTGTTTGCCTGGTAATGATGACATACCACTTTTACAGGGGAGAATCAGTGGTCAAGAGAGAAGGTACTCTTGACGTAACCCTCCTTTTGCCCACCAGTTCTCCCACACACATACAACTCCACCCCAACAGCCAATAAGATTTGATTTTTCCCGGTCGCAGAGTCCAGCTGGGAAGAGGGGAGGGGAGAGAGCCTAGAGGACTCTCCCCTGCAAACATCTCCTGACCCTCCAGTAACATCAGATGGCAAATAGTGCTTTGCAAAATCACTTGTTTGCCATGAAATACATAGTTGTAGTGGCTCAAGTGGATAAGACGCTGAACTGCAGGCTGTGGAAGGTCGGTAGCTCAGCAGTTCGAGACCCGAGTGTTGTATGACGGAGCAAGCTCCCATCTCTGGCCCCAGCTCCTGCCAACCTAGCAGTTCGAAAGCAAGAAATTGCAAGTAGATAAACAGGTACCGCTTCGGTGGAAAGGTAACAGTGTTCTGTGCGCCTTGGTGTCTAGCCATGCCGGCCACATGACCACGGAGACATCTTTGGACAGCACTGGCTCTTTGGCTTGGAAACAGAGATCCCTAGAGTCAGATTCAACTGGCTTTCAAGCAAGGGAAACCTTTACCTTTTCCTAACCTCAGTGTGACTGGCTTCTGGGTGAGCAGGCTTAGGATTTCTTACAGTCTTACAACACGGCTGCCCACCTGGATCAGTCTTCAGCAAGTGTAGAGATTCAGTTAATCTATGTTAAGGGATCTTCGGGATCTTGCTAACACCCCACACACATTTGTGATCTACAAGGATCTTATTTCTTTCCAAAGGAGACCACTCGGAGCAGACCATTAAAGATACCTCCCAGTTCTACAGTTTGGCGATAACATTGATGAGGATAAGAGTTATCTGTAGGATCTGGGGGTGTTGCTGTTGTTCTGCAGATCAAGCAGCCAGCACGGAGAGGGCCATACCGAGGCCTGCCCCCACAAAGGCACCCTAAACCTCTCACTTGCATGTTAATGTGGGGTGCTGTTTTGCTTCCCATCATTCTCCCAGATTAAGGCTCTCAGTTCATGTATTTTCAGTCAAAACTAGTTGTGCAAAATAATGCCGTGCATTAGCCAAAACTGAGGCCAGAGCTCTGGGGAAAGCCAATCCTCCAGTGGCCAGAGTTCAGAAGAAAAAGTCAGGAGGCCAGGGAGAAAGTGCAAAATATTAACCTGCTGCGGAGAAAGGAGATACATGAAATTGTTTAGGGAAATAGTGTAATAATGGGGGGACGGGACACCTGCAAAGAAGTGATCAGAGAGCCCTGTCCGAACCGCATGGCGTATCCTTAGTAGTAGCATGGAGATGCTCTGCTTCTATGATCACTTGCAGACATCTTCTGCACGGGACACCTTTGGAAGTCAAGGCACTCGACAGACAGTGCCCTGTAAGTTGGGGAGAATCCCACCGGCAAGTGACAGCCACAAACTCGACTGGGCCAAGGGAAGGGGAGTTGGCCTGAAGAGTTGCAGCCAGCTAAAACGGCACCACATCCTTGGCAGCCCCACCCCTGCGGCCTTCGGGAGCGAGCCGGGGAAACGGTCCCTCGGCACGCCTTAACCCCTCTCCTTGTGCCGTCGAGGGCGAGGTGAAGGGGCCGCGCGCACAAGGAGGGCGTGGGTGGAGGGGATTCCATTGCACCACACTGCTTGTGGGGGGGGGGATCCAAAGAAAGGGCCATCCACTCCGACCGCAACACCTAGGAGGAGCCTTTGGGAGAGGGAAGTCGATGGCCGCGAGCGCTTGCGTCCGCAGGAGCCCGACGGAGCGCGCTCGAAGCTCGCCGTCCACCGCGCGCAAAGCGATGCCGCGACCGCTGCCGGGGGGGGGGGGGTTGGGAGGGGGGTGG